AGCACTGCCACCAGAGAACCCCACAGCAGCACCACCAGAAACACCAACAGCACTGCCACCAGAGACACCCACAGCACCACCACCAGAAACACCAACAACACCATCACCTGAAACACCTACACCACCACCACCTGAAACACCCACAGCACCACCACCAGAAACACCAACAACACCGCCACCAGAAACATCAACAGCACCGTCTCCAGAGACACTTACAACACCGCCACCAGAAACACCTACAATACCACCACCAGAAACAACTACAACACCACCACCTGAAACACCCACAACACCACCACCAGAAACACCTACAATACCACCACCAGAAACACCAACAGCACCACCACCAGAAACACCTACAAGACCACCACCAGAAACACCTACAACACCGTCTCCAGAGACGCCTAGAACACCACCACCTGAAACACCTACAACACCACCACCTGAAATACCCACATCGCCACCACCAGAAACACCTACAAGACCACCACCAGAAACACCAACAGCACAGCCACCAGAGACACCTACAACACCACCACCTGAAATACCCACATCGCCACCACCAGAAACACCTACAAGACCACCACCTGAAACACCCACAGCACCGCCACCAGAAACACCTACAACACCACCACCAGGAACACCAACAACACCGCCACCAGGAACACCAACAGCACCACCACCAGAAACACCAACAGCACCATCACCTGAAACACCAACAGCACAGCCACCAGGAACACCTACAACCCCGCCACCAGAAACACCAACAACACCATCACCTGAAACACCTACAACACCACCACCAGAAACACCAACAGCACCATCACCTGAAACACCAACAGCACCACCACCAGAAACACCAACAACACCATCACCTGAAACACCTACAACACCACCACCAGAAACACCTACAACACCACCACCTGAAACACCCACAACACCACCACCAGAAACACCTACAATACCACCACCTGAAACACCTATAACACCGCCACCAGAAACACCTACAATACCACCACCAGGAACACCAACAGCACTGCCACCAGAGAACCCCACAGCAGCACCACCAGAAACACCAACAGCACTGCCACCAGAGACACCCACAGCACCACCACCAGAAACACCAACAACACCATCACCTGAAACACCTACAACACCACCACCAGAAACACCTACAACACCAACACCAGAAACACCAACATCAGACAGGACAACAGAAACAACTCGAACATCTGAGAGGACAACAGAAACAACACCAACGTCAGACAGAACAACAGAAACAACACGAACATCAGACACGACAATAGAAACAAGACCAACATCAGAGAGGGCAACAGAAACAACTCGAACATCAGAGAGGACAATGGAAACAACACCAACATCAGAGAGGACAACAGAAACAAGATCACCATCAGAGAGGACAACAGAAACAACACCAACATCAGAGAGGACAGTAGAAACAACACCAACGTCAGACAGGACAACAGAAACAACACCAAGGTCAGAGAGGACAACAGAAGGAACACCAACCTCAGACAGGACAACAGAAACAACTTCAACATCATACAAGACAACAGAAACAAGACCAACATCAGAGAGGACAACAGAAACAACTTCAACATCATACAAGACACCAGAAACACCAACAGCACCATCACCTGAAACACCAACAGCACATCCTTACCGGGTGACACCAACGGTAACTTCCTACCCTTACCCACATCCATATCCACTCACACCCACACCCACACCCTTATCTCAAGTCAGAGATAAGCTAGCTTACAATTCTTGAAATACGGTAAAATAATCGTTGTCATCTTTATTAATAACGAAAAGCAGTGCGTGCGAACATGAAATAATTTAAGTAAAAATCATTGTGAAAAATGCAAAAATGATCAACTACAGTCGTCTATTAGCTTTTCTGCTTCTTGATCATATATTCACGAACATTAGGGTAGATAAATCTTTCTATTTTTGCCGTGCTTGTCGTGGGTTTCTGAAAAAATTCTCGGATTTTGGTTGAACTCATTTCCGAAAGATCATCACGTTCACCTGTCAATGATACGTAAATAACACCAGACGCCTTGGATGAGTTGCGAATGTGTTGTTCTTCATAACCAGATCTGTAAACAATCGCACTTGCTATATAATCTTGCTTCGTCATTCTTGCTACTGCAGGACATTTATTAAAATGGTCTAGGCCACAAACATAAATGACATTTATAGGATACTTGACAAATTTCTTCTTATTGACGAGAGTAAAATTGAGAAAATCGCGAAAATTTTCGGTCACTTCATCAAAATCAACAAAACCAGCAGGCCATTCACTTTCACCTCGTGAAATAGCAACCCAGGACGATAATGCTACTCCTTCATGCTTGATGGCTCCTTCAATAAGCTTGCATCGATCGGTAGCAGGAATCCATGCTGCGTCGGTCAACTTTGAGAGGACGTAAGAATCACTTGAAATGAAGTGTGTAAAGTATAATTAAATTATATTCTAAACGAGAAATATACATACTGTGTCGGTGATATATATCCTGCAAGAACGTTCCATTGCGGCTCATATTCACGTTCAAAATAATCTTTTACACGTCGAAGAATTCGGAAATGGCCAGGATGAACAGGATTGAAAGAACCAGTAGTAAGCAAAACACAGCTATTATACACAAAAATCGTATGCGAATTCTCTATCTATGAATATTCTAGAACTATGGTCTAGGCATGCTGAAGGGATCCCGGAAAACAACCGATCAACTGCGGTTCTCACGTTGAATATTTTTCCACATTTCCACAGATCATAGTTTTTATATTTAAAAGTTTCTGGTTTGAATTGAAATTACGTCTCCAATAAATTGGATAGACGCTAAAGTCTTCAACATTTGACTGAACTCTTGTTTCACTCTAAATTTAGAATTTGAGAATTTTCCCAAAGTGTCATCAGTGAACTATTAATAGCTATTTGGTAAGTCAGCTTATGAAAAAATGCTGCATCATCTATAGAAGCTCACTTTCGCAGATGAAGTCAATTTCTTTCGATAAGGGGCGGTATTCTAAAACCAGAGAACGTGAATTTCATTGCAACAACAATCGAAAAGGATGAAGAAGAAAGTAAACCGGTTGTATTAGTGTTTTTTGCAAAGTGCGATAAAAAGTTGGTTTTCTTAAAAAAAATTGATATGGATATGTACGAAAATTCCAAGCTCAACTGTGTTCAACGTCTAATTCTGTTACATTCTGAGAGCTGATTTATATTATCAACATACTGATGAATTTTCAAATCTATTATTGTCATAATGTGTCAAATGAAACAAAACGTAAATCTTTTGTTTAGTCTTTCAAGCTAAGCGATCTTTTTTTCACACAAAACTCACTTGTGACGGCTATTGTTGACATTACGATTTTTGCAGTTTAACATTAATAGGTCAATATTCGTATTAGTCGAACTATGCATCGAATTTTGGCAGGCCATAGGAGATGGCATCGAAGAAAATTTGCTGGCGGTTGCACCATAACCTGCTATAATAGATGATGAAAGAGAGGTTTCTATTGAATCTTGAGCATAACTTCACAGCATAGAACAAGACAGTCAACCATATATGTAATCATCTTGCGATTAGTGACTAGCACTCAATCCTGACATGCGCACTTGGAATCCATATAGACTCTAGTTGGAAAAGACATTCAAAACTTTGCTTGGTCCTCATTAGCAGACCTACGACCAACGTATGAAAAGTAAAACTCAGAAAAGCGTAATTTTCTTTTCTGCTTGTGAGACAATCGAGAAATTTTTGCGCAAAATGAATGGTTCTTGTAGAGCCCCTTGAAAAAATTGAACAATGCACTATAGGGCCGCTGCATGAGTTATGAATAGGGGTGGGAAGTTACGTTCCCAAACCGTTTCCTGGAACTCTGGAACGGTCAGAAAGTGTCTACCACCATCAAACCCGTAGTCTCCGTCTCCAAGTCCAACTATTGGGGGCCGGATACCCTTAGGTCTGCAAGCCCTACCATTGGTGGCTACTCTTAGGCTCTCAAGACCTACTATTGGGGGTACCCTTGTGACCGTAAGTCCTACTTTTGCAAAGTGCTCTTGGATCCTCAAGTCCTACTATTGGGGGATACCCATGCGTGCGCAAGTGCTACCATTGTGAGTTGGGGTGAGAAGTTACCGTTTCCAGACCGTTCCTGGGAACGGTAACGGTAACGTTACACATCCCAGTTTCTCGGGAATGGTAATGCCCCATTCCCAGTTATCCAAGAACGCAGGTAACGGTCAGGCGACTAGGTAGCATCAATCTCATAGCCTTGATCCTCATGAATAACTATTGGCGATACCTTTCTGTCCGCAACTCCCACCATTCGCGATACCGTTGGGTCTCAAAATGCTAGTGTAAGCAGATATCTTTGGCTCATAAAGTGCTCGTATAGCGGGCTACACTCACCCCAACCAGTGCAACTAAAACGTGATACCGTGCGCCCAGCCAATGCAAAATTTAAATCAAACCGTTGTACCGTCACAATCAACTGCCCCGAATCGAGGTATCATTGGCCCAAGCATCTCAAAAAGTGGCGTGGTGACGTGGGCCCAACCTCTGCAAATTTTGCGCGGAATCCTCGGACCATCGGGTTGAATGGCCAGGGAGAGGGGTAGCCCTGGCCAAAGCATGGCAAGCGTCGAGTGGTACCTTTGTCCCAACAATTACTGGTGTTGTCAGTACCCTTGGCCTCCCAAGTCTTACTATTAGGAGCCACCCTAGGGTCCTGAAGTCAAAGTATTGGTTGGTACTTTTCCGTCCTCCAGGGGGACTCGAGGATATCCCGCAATGTTAGCACTTGGTGAGCCAAGAGTAAGCCGGAAACGTAACGGGAACTTCCCATACCGTCCTCCATGTGTGAGACGTGAGACCGAAAAGTACTCCGAGTACTAGGACTTGAGGCCCCAAAGTTACCCCCAATAGTAGGACTTGAGAACTGAAAAGTGCCTCCTGTAGTAGGAGTTGAAGACCAAAAAGTACCCCCGAATAGTAGAACTTGTGGGCGGTAGACACTTCTGAACGTTCGCGCGTTCCCGGGAACTGGTGACGGAGTGTAACCGTTCCCAGAAACGCGAGATCGGAAAATTTTCCAGTTCCCGGGAACGCGGGAACGACAAAGTTCTCAGTTCTCCGGAGCGGTAACGGTGACTTCCCACCCCTAGTTGTTAATATTAGTCACTCATTCTACGAGAGCTATATGTACGTTGACTCAGTCTGTTGTACTTTTTTGTGAACACTATCTACTTATTCTGATTAGGCGGTATCTCATATTTACTTGCTGCACTTGAACTTGCTGTGTTCGATTGGTATGCTGCTCCTGGACTGCGTCCAAAATCCACGAATTCTCGCAGTTTACTTGTGTCAATAGTGACGACTACAGATTCTGGATCTTCTGATTTTAATTCTGATCTAAGATATTGCTTCGCCTTGCGCTCGTCACTCGTGAATACCATGCATTCATTTTCAAAACCCAGCTCTCGTAATGCTCTTATCAACCTTGCTCCAGCATTATGCGTTTGTTTTTCATTTTCACGATTCATGTCAGTAACGATACGAAATGTATTTTTGTTTTTCAGACGTTGTCCAAACGGAGACCGAAGGAATGAAAGTGCACTATCAGTGGACGATTTTGGAATGAAATGTACATTTAAATTGAGCGATTTTGCCGCTGCAGATTCCATGTGAGCCTTGTTTTCCCACTTTGGATTGAATATTCTATCGTCCACCCATAAAACCGACCATTGGCAGAGACCTAATTCAACCTGCCGCATATAAATAATGTGCTGTGTTCCATGGTGACTTATCAAATGCTGAAATACAACGAATGTTGAATGAGGTAAAAATAAAACTTCATCTTCTTCAGGAAAGTTCGAAAAATCTTGGATTGGCCGCCCAGTTAGAGAAAAGATTTTGAAAATTGCGTTTCGATTCTTGAAAGCATCAGCTTCTTTTTTACCCTTGGTGGAACTACTGAACTGAATCCAAGTAATCAGAAAACCAGGTGTGTAAAGATCTAGTTCCTCATCTTCGAGCTTACAACACCGTGTGACAAAACCCCAATGGTAAGGTATATATGAAAGTGCCTTCACCAAATAATAAAGAATAATCGCTGCTTCCTTTAGTTCTTGCCTTATGTTTTCATCGATGATAACTCCATTTGCTTGTCGAGCGACGAGACTTGCTCCTCGACTAACTGTTTCACTTCTAGCACCTGTATAAAATGAAATGGCCAGCCCTAATGATTTAGCTTCATCTTGAGATATCCGTGGATTTTTCTTGAGGAAAATTTTTGCGGATTTTTCTGCACGACTCTCATGTTGCGCCATCGCTTTCTCAACATCTGTCCCATCTCGTTGTTCGTAAAAACGACAGACTTCTTTTAATCTTTCATAAGATGTTTTGCTTTCGATCATATTGATCACTGATGGATTGAAATTGTCCTCGTAAACATAATGACCCTTGCGTCGCTGTTCGATGTCTTCACCTTCTTCTATTGTTTCATATTCGAGCAGATATTCAATTTGCTCTGATTCCAACATTGTTACATCAAGGGTCTCTTCCGTCAACTCATCTGAATCATCTGAATCATAGTGAAGATCTTTCCTATATGCCTTCAGTCCCTTGAGACGAGCTTGATTTAAAATACGTGCAACAACAATCATGTAGCAGTCATGCCGTAAACGAAGACTTTCTGCTGCTTTTTTAGGGTCGAATGCGCAGAGGTCTTTGAAAATAACTTTTTGCGCTCGTCCCATTGCAGATCAGTTATCACTTCAATCTTAATCTGAAACTTTAAGCTTTCTTCGTAAGTCAAAAATTAATATCTCTTGGATTGTAAAAAGTGAATCAAAGTTGACGTCAGCCAAGCTGGAGTCCATAATCCACATTTTACCTTTTTTTTTTAATAAAACGCAGAAAGTTATCAAAAGTACCGCCGATTGTCGTAAGTGTTTTGAAGAAGTTTTAGATTGTTTTCTCGACCGTTCTGAGTGCCACCTGATGGCATTCATAGTAACTTTTTAAGTGCCATCTAGGGGTATCCTTCGTAAATTTTTAACGGTCACTTCGGGATATCCTTAGTAAAGTTTAATGGGCTATCTCATATTGGTAGCGCATTTTCTTATTCAGTACTTCGCAGTCGTCTTTGTAACGGTCAGCCATCTGTATAGGCGTGACGTTGAGAAGTTTCACTATCGCTTCACTTGTGGATGTCCGTCGTTACAGTAGCATATTCATAACCTTTTCCGAAGTATCTGACGCATAACTACAAGTTTAGTTTGGGTAGAAACTGTATGAAAACTAGGGTGTGGGTGTGGGTGCGGGATGTGGGTGCGGGGTGTGGGTGTGGGCCTGGGTGTGGG